CCAAAAAGTTGTCATTACTCGAAGAATTCGCGGCGATAATTTTATATCTTCAATAATTAAAATGTTTCTTGGTTAACTATAATTATTGTTAACAAAATTAGACTTCATTACTTTTGTTACTACATGATAAACATGTGTGGAAATGAAAAGTAATCTTTACTTGCTATATTCTTTAAAACTTTTAAATATTCATGTTTTTAGCGTTTTATCATTCAATACTATTGCTCGTAAATTTATTTATCGTCTATAGGAAACAAAAAAAGGTTAATAATTTATCGAGTAAATATTAAGAGCACTTTCCACCTTGTTGTATTTAAGATTAAAGTATGAGTTAAAACTTTTATGTTTTGTATTTATTTTTGCCGCTACGACATATTAAAAGTAAATTATTTTGTTTTGTATTGTGAATTTAACTAGTAAAAATAAAAACTGCCCGTGTCTTACCGATATTTTCCGATAAAACAGACTTATTAATACTAAATTTTAAGGGGGTATTATTTTTACAGTTGTTATAAAATCCGTTTATTTTAATAGAAATCCTATTTTTCTGTCCAATTCTCTAGATTAGCATTTACCCTTAGGTTACTCTCACTCTGGTGTTAGCAACTAGGTACTTCAAAACATTAATGTATCACAATTATTTAACGATCTATTAATTAAAGGAAAATCATGCCATGGGGTAGACATTGCTATTTTTCATTATTTTTCTTAAATGGAATATGCATTGATTAAATGAAATTTGAAGAAGGTATAACAGTGAATATATTATTTAAAGAAATAGTATGTAGTATGAGACCAAAAGAAGGGTATAAAAAATAATTCGAATTTTTTAAATAATTGTTTGAAAACTCGTTAACGTCGGTTTATGAAACTTAAATTCATCGTAATTTAAAGGATCCGTGTGAAAAGCTCTTACATTCATAATTTAAACATATAAATGCGAGTTAAAATGAGCGCACTCAGCTCATATGAAGATAATTTGGCTAAGGTGCACTTTTCACCTTACAGAACAAATTATGTTTTTAAAATAGTTTGTTAAAGAATTATTTCCTTTTTGTTGTTGTAGAAGTGTAATTCTGTGAAATTACAAAACATTTACTCTAAATTGATTTGTAAGCAATATTTTTTTGATATGTATTAATTTTCGACATATTTTCATAAGAATTTAAAACTAAATTAAGTATTTATGTCTCCTAAAATTTTACACGCGGATGCCACAACAAATTGTAGGTACCTTGATTTTTCTTTGAGACTAAAACTATACTTTTACGTTATACAAAATTAACGTTGACTTATTTTTGTAACTAGGATTTCAACGTATTAAAACGCTTAATCTATACGACGCGACCATTCTGTAAATATGTACACAAATAGCACAAGTGTATTTGTTAAGTAAGTATACATACAATTTATTTAAAGTGAGAATAAAGAAACATATCAATTTAATAAATTTTTGACCTGACATCAAATCTTAGGATCTAAGGATTGTTCAACCGTCTTGATGCCTACAAATATAGATCTTTTCAGCAGAAAAGAGGCGACCCTTGCCAACAGTTAATTTTATACTTATATTTCGTAAACAAACTATCGACAATTATATAGATAGGCACTTGTAACCTTTGTAGACTCCTGTTCAATTTTTTTATTTAATTGATGACCTCTTGTACTCCGGAAGCAGCACTCAAAATGAAATTTAGTGTCTTTTTTCTTCCTAACAGTCTTTTCAAAGACTATTTATCTTACAATTAATCTTTTACGTTTAAAGAATTTATAATATACCTAAAGTCATGATTAAAATTGTATTGGTAGAAAAAATCGTGACATGACACTCATTTAAATTAATTTAATAAATAGATTTTAAGGTATTCATAATATATAATTATTAGAAAGTTTTTTCATATTAAAATACATTGGACTCATAAATCAGTCGACAACTCGGTGTGTGAAGACAAATAACTTGAGATTCGTGATAAATAACACAGTACATGATTAATGAAATTGATTTTATTGCACACGACGGATGAATCTTGATATTAAGCTTGAGGGATGTGTTTCTATTCCATTGAATTCGTTAAATGTTGACCGACATTTGTCACCATGAGTACATACTACTGTCATAGGTATGAAAACTATGAACAGACCAAATTAAAATGAAAGCAATTAGTTTGTTTTGCTATAATTTAAATTATAAATATTTTAATAATGTTACAATATTATTGTATATGTTTTTTTATCAATATTTCTTTTAGAAAATATATATCTTATAAAACTAGTTTTTTTTTAATCTATAAAAGGGCTCATAAACGTAACTTTTATATTATGATAAGACCAAGAATAAAAAAAAAAAGTGTGTATTATATTTATATTTTTTTATCTTACGATTTTTCTATTATAATGTATTAACATTATATTATTAAAAAATTGAGCTTAAATCATTAATAAATAAATAAAATTATATAAAATCTCCATATTTTTCCATCAAACCTATTTTGATTTAAAACGTCATTAAACTAACATTTCTTTTTGAAGTTAAAGTCTTATTTTAAATCATCGATCGCTTTCACCAAACATTTCTACCTAATAATGAGTTCTTTCTGCAGCTTTCGCAGTGACATGTGAACCACTAGTTACTTATAACTTAGGAATAATATCAGTACATATTAATTTTACAGTTCTTCTGTTGCTCTTAAATTTTGTGCTTGTACCTAATATTAACTTTAGGTTAATAAGGGATCGATATGGCATCGTAAATACTCGTTGTTTATGTATTTTAAATAACATTATAATCTCCAGTATAATGATCAATCAAACAAGATTATAAGAGTATATATTCAATTATATAGGCACGGTGTTTTCAAGTTTCTGCTATTTAATTATTGGTCAATGCGATTGATAGAAACTATGGTAAATATTAAGAAAAGGCTCGAAAAAAATAAATCCGTTTGAGTTAATTGGTGCAAGTCAAACTGAAGTAATAAATCCCTAAGTCCATCCTTCGGCCCAAAACACTTAGAAAGGCTATAAACCTGGCCAACTCTTTCAGATTTATTTCCTACAATCTCTTTAGTTTTATGTTCTCGTGTTTCAAAGACTAGATTTGTTTATTACGTTTTCAGCCCACAGCAAACCCGGATAGTATCATTGTGATTTCCATGGTGATCGAATTAATGTGTGTGAGAAAATTAGACGCGTCTGAATCATTGTTTTATAGCGTTACACCGTTAAATGTGAAATGTATAAATCCCCTGACGTAAAATTTATGTGAATTTGTGTTTTCATGACTACATATTTTATGCGACCGTAATCTATAATGTGCATTATAAATGAAAGAATAACAAACTATAATTTTATGTAATTATTAATAATAATAGAATCAAAAGTCATTGGTATGTAAAAATAATAAGGGAATATTTCTCTGCTATCCATTTTGTGATTTTGACAAAACCTAGATTATTGTAATCTAAATGTTAGTCCCTAATTCTATAACTTGACAATTTTTTTTAATCTTTTAAATTTCTTTTTTATAATATCAATCAAACACAGTAAGTAATTCAGTATCAGTAATATAATACATAAGTCAGGGTTACAGAATATAAAACAAAAGATTTTTTTAGTTGGGAGGCCATAACATCGGGTGCACTTATGTGTGACCTTTACATAATGAATCTAATGAAAGTGGATGTGTTAGAATTGTTCTCTTGAGATTTGAGCTGTATACTACATGAAGAGATTTTCGCTGTGTAGTGCTTGTTCATAAAGGATAGCAGGATCTGAGGAAGAGTGTTTAGCTGTTACAGTAAAAATACCCTTAATTAGTGAGTAAAATTATACGACATATGTTTATTGAAGGGACACCTCATGGAACACGTAAAAGACAAAGATCTCCTCAGTAAACGACAAAATGGTACTTCTAGTGCATACTACACGTTAATGGTAGATCTCGAGAGGAAAACCTTGAAGGCACTCTCTGGCACAATAGCTTTATTAGCAATTTTTTTGACTGTGCTCTACGAGAAATTTTTATATTATTTTATGTTATAATACGTACAATAACCAGTTCTTCAGAATTATATTATATTGTAAAGAGCATAGTAGATATTTAGATATTGCGCGCTTTAACTCCTTCATCCCTTTTTAATCATCAGACAACTAGACAGACGGTAGATCTCGTATCATTCTTAGTAAATATACCTCGCCTACGTAGAAAACGATATGCCATCTATGTACTTGCTCATGCCCATAGCTTAGGATTGAAATTGCTTACTTACGTTTATTTCCTTCCACTTAACCATCTATTCCTTTACTTCCACCTTCCAACAGGTAAAATTAATTTTCAAGTATTAATTAATTGTTTAATGGGGACTGTCTATTTTGTTTGAATAAGTATAAATAAGAAAAGTGGGTTTTCTTTATTTGGATTAATGACCTGTTATTTCAAAAATCAAAAAAATATATAACAAAAATAAACCTAAAACATCGAAATAAGATAATTTTTATTTTCAAATTTCATTACAAAAAAAACAATAATTTACTTTTACCATTATTTCTTTCAATATCGTATTGTTTCAAATATTTTTGTATATTATATTGTATTACGTCAAACTTAAGTAACAAACTCTGTTATATCTCACTTCGAAAGATTTCTTGTCGTATGATGCTTGTTTTACAATTCAATATTTATAGATTTTTTTTCATAGAGGTCAATATTATTTTACTTACATCCACTTATTTTCTAACGCAATTTTAAATGTTTTGTACCAATATATAAAACAAATATAAAGGAAGATCCTAATCAATTTAAAACCGGTATACAGGTTTATGGTTTATCCGCTGGATTTAAACTACGCGACCGGGTGGAAATATACGAAGACTTGTTATTTTTACTTTAAATTATATTATTACATTAATACTTTTGTAAAGTTTAAAAGAAATATTTTTAAAGAGAAACTGTTATTTTTCGTTTTTAGCGAACAAAGGATTTTATTTGTTTATTTAGTGATTCACTCACTCATTACTCTCTCACTCGATTCCTCACTCAAACGGGCTCTATGATATAACCCTTGGTAAACATTGTCATCATACTGCAGGTACTGTACATATTGTATAAAGAAAACATTATTTTAAAAAATACTTAAAGAAATGGCAAACAGAAAATCCTTTTTTTATTTTTCTAATCTTCACTCTGAAACTACTTAAACCATTAATCCTTTTTCCTTTAGTCTGCTATATTACATATTTTATTTAATTATTATAACATTCCTTATTTTACATCCATTAGACTGAGTTTTATTAGTTAAAAATAATTCTTAACATAATTTTTCCTATCAGACAACTAAATAATTAAGGTTTCTTCTTAAATTCTGAAATCAGAGGTTTTAAATTAATTTATATTGGATTTATTTCTTTCATCATGTGTATGAAATCATAGACTTTTGAAACGATTAGACAAAATAAATGAAACGATTAGACAAAATAAAGATTAATGTTTGTTTTGTATATATGAGTATAATTGTTATAATACACCAAAACACACAATTATCTTATATTCACTAATACATAATGTCTTATACTTTTATTACACTTCTTCTTGTTCACTGAATTGTTAAAATGAAATGTTTTTTATAACATAACATTATGTGAATTAAACTAACTGAGACGACATTATATCTGATGAAGCCTGTGTTCAATAAGTAAAAAGCCGAAAGCTTCAAGTCCATTTATTCTCTAAATCTATTGTAATTTTCTTTTTTTTTTGATTACGGTCCGCTCGTCTAAAATTGGTACATATTGAATAGTTTGTCTAATGCTGTGGTCGACCTTTTTAGTTAAATAATGTTTCCCTATGTATCATTTCGTTCTCTGTAAACTAAAAATACATATTTAAAAAATTTCAAATAATAAATATTTTAAAATGGACCAAAACTTGAAATTATTAATACATAATCTTGTGCAACCAAGAATACCAAGAAACATCGAAAAGAATTAAAATTTAATTCTACTGTAATTTTAATGATATCATTTCTATATTTATAATCTTGAAATAATCTTCGATCATTAGTTTATAAAAATAACACAAAGATAAATTGGATAAAGTGAAGTGATATTTCCTTCTTATACAACATGTAAAATATTTAACAATCAATAAAATATGGAATTGTGTTCCTTTTATACTATATAATTATTCTACACCTTTTTTCTATTTCCATTTCTTTATTTTTTTATTTTTTTATATTTAAACAAACCATAAAATATTTGTAATATTCTACTTAATTTTATGAGCTTCAATATCCATAATCCAATTAATGATTCCATTATATCCGTGATAATAAATGGTTATAATATACTTGGCACAAATATAAGGATACAATCAATTTAAGGATGATATAATTTAGCTTTAGTTTAGAAAAAAACTGAAATATAACTTATGAGGCACTTTTAATACTTGTAACAAAGTTAGGATTTTTTTTTAAATATATTTGTTTTAAGTCTTCATTATTTGTTTGCCTGTTCCTAACGAGACAAGTTTGTTCATTAATACCCAAAATAAGTTCAAATTAAATGTCTTTTCTTAATTCTTTAATTACGTACAAAACGTGTGTAACAAATAAAATTATGTTTATATATAATAAATTAAAGATCTATACTTTATTATATATAAACATCTTCCTTAAAAGTAACACAAATCATTTTATGTACAGTTTTAGGAGGCTAGGTTAACATACGTAATTTATATATACTAAGAAATGTGTAAATTTTTGCAGTTGTTATAATTTTGAAATAATAATTATTACATCACCCTAATTTTTTATTTGTTATGCCTACTAAAGTCTAATAGCGTCATCGAATTCATTATTGTTAACCTTACGGTCCAAGTCCACGCAGAATACTGTGAGACGATAGTTCACAGGATTTACTAGGCAATTTTAATTATTTAACCGTGACCACGGGCAGACGAGATGAGAATGTCTATCAGTTGATCTTGTGTTTTATCATCGAATGATTGCATTACATGAGTTCGCCGTGCTTGTGACGATAATGCAGATGACGTAAATGCAGATTTTGGTTTGATTTGAAACTTTGAAACGCTCTACTGTAAAATTACACTTTTAGAGATACGACAACTTACGTAGGAGGTATCGACTTGTCAATAATCATTTCAAGGTTAGTCATTGTAAATCTTCTGGATATATAATTTTAATTTACAGTTCATTTAGATTTTAGTATATAATGACAACTGGTTTATGTTCTGTACCTGTATAGTATTCTCTCTGGACTGGTAGTTATTCTGCATCCCTGGCGGCATGTCGTCATGTCTCGGTGGACCTGAAAATAATAATAACAAGACATGACAAATACACTTAAGAAATTAAATTCTTCATAAACATTAAACATTTTTGAACTTATTGCTTGGGTCAAAAGGCTTTCCTTGAATCAAAGATGGCATTGACAATCTTTGATTATCTTCTTTTATTTTTAAAATCAGGACATTTCTGTAAAAAAGAAGCTGTAGAAATAATTACATCATTAGAGTAACAATCTTGTACATAATAATGCATCTAATAACATAATCTATTGAAGTACATAATGCTTCAACTGAGCCTACAGTCTTAGCAAAGTGACTTGATAACCATCAGTATACAGACCTTGTTGCCTCCTATCAGTTGGTACGGCGCGAGGCGGAGGCGCGACGTGTAGAGCGACACCAGCCTCACTCACACGCATCCGTCTCTGACGCTCACAGTACGCGCTCCAAGTCACCTAGTTGAAACCATAATTGAAGTAATCTAAAAACATTACACATATTATTCATTATTAAGTTATACCAAAGATAGGCTATTGTAGTTTGGAAAGCAATTTATTAATCCATAGACAAAAATATTTGGAAATAAAAATTCTTGTCATCATTGCATAAATGTGTATTGGTTGTACTTGGTGGGGTCAAATATAATTTAGGTAGATGACTTTATATACTAGGTTCTGAAATTCTGGTAGTCATACATGGCTACTTAGCAAATACATCGCTCATACAAAAGAATATTGACGTAATTACGTTATTGCGATCAGTAGAGCGTTTTAAAAGTTTGATATCAAAAATAATGTGTATTTTCAATAATACTGTTGATATATTTTAATAGTTATGTCGTGTTACTTTAGCATCAATAACATTATGTAAAAAGATTGCGAGCAAAATTAAGATAACTATTAAAATAAAAAAAATATTGGTTGTTTGTAAAGTAGGTTTACGATCGAGATGTTTACGTTATAACGTCTTATTGGTGATATAAGTTTTTGGGAAGTAAAACATTCAACGAAAACTTAACCGCACGAGAAAATCTCCATTCGTTTGTATGCCGCTAGAGTGAGAGAGACGGAAGATCGGTCCACTCACTCGAACGCTATGCCTGCCTCTGCTCGTGAGGATTCCGCGTGACAAGTTTCACGCAATGACTGGCAGCGCTCGAGATGAGACGGAAGATCGGTCCGTCTCTCTCTCGTTATACCTGCGATCGCGCTCGTGAGGTTTTGGTGTGACACAAGTTTCTGAACATGTCACCCGACTAAAACGATTTTAAAGACGTTATCACGTCAAAATATGAGTGATCTGGAAGAAATATTAATTCCTTTTTTAATACATTGATTGTCACTTCATTTGTGACAACAATTAAATGTTTCAACATTTATTTCTAAAACTCAAAGACATGTTTCTAAATTATAAAGTAACAAAGGAATTAATTGAAACAAACTTGAACAAAATTATAAAAAACGATGTCCATGTTTAATGTGAATCCATATAATATATACGAGATACATATTTAACAATCATATATATATATATATATATATATATATATATATATATTGTAATAAATATATATATATATCTACCGACAAAAAGTTTGGAAGCACTTCTAACACTCCTAACTATTTTAGAAATAACTCGAGATTTATGTATTATTTAATTGAGAATTATTAGGTACTTGATAAAACAGCAGTCAAACTACAAATTAAAATCAAATCCTTTTTTATTAATCACCAAATTAATTTATAATTTATTTTCGTCGATATGACCACCCTTTGCTTTATAACAGCTTGGCAGATTCTAGGCATTCTCTCTAGTAATTTATTTAAGTATTCGGCGCTAATTTCTTTCCAAGCTTCTTGTAGATATTGCCACAGCTCTCTGCCGCTCTGTGGCAAACATTCTTTAGCTTTTCGATCCAATTCATCCCATAATTTTTCAATAGGGGATAGGTCTGGTGATTGCGGGGGCCACACCATTAATTCAAGAATACTTCTCGATTCCTGTTCTTCTAAAAAGGTTTTGCACACTCTTGCTGAATTTTTGGGATCATTATCTCGTTGAAACACGAATGCTTCACCTACAATACGTGATCCTGTGGACACAGCATGATCTTTTAATATTTGCAAATACTGCTCTTTCCTCATGATCCCATCAATTTTAACAAGATCTCTGACAAAAATTCCAGCAAAACAGCCCCAGACTAGTACGTTGCCACCACCGTGTTTTACCGATGATACTAAACAGTCTTCAGATACTCTTTAATGGGATCTGCGGCGGACAGACTCGTCTATTAGACCCAAAAAATTTAAATTTTGATTCATCCGTCCATAGTACGGTTTTCCATTGTTCCACTGTCCAATATTCATGCTGTTTTGCCCATTGTAGTCGTTTTTTCTTATGTATTGCTCATAGTAATGGTTTTTTTACTGCCACACAACCACGAAGACCAGCAGTTGAAAGGTGATTCTTCACAGTAGAAAGTGATACTTTTTTATTCGCGTTTTATTCAACTCCTGAGTAATTTCCGGTGCTGTAAGTCGTCGATTACGCTTTGAAGTTGTTACTATGAACCTATCATCTGCTGCAGAAGTAACTTTTGATCTTCCACTCCGTTTTCTATCCCTCAAACTGCCAGTTTCACGGTGTCTCGCAACTGTGTAATGAACACCTTTAGCTGATATACCGAGTTTTTTTGCAATATCTTTTTCCGAATAGCCTACATTACTTAAAACAATAATAGCCGAACGTTTTTCAATTGGTATCTGTTTTCTTTTTCCCATTTTATACACAAAATACAGATTTTATTGGTATTTTTAAAAAAGCGCGGTTAGAATAGCAAAAATTCTATTAAACTGCATATAAATAATTAACCACGGTCCTTAACACACTTTAAAATAAATACCTACTGTAAACCACAACGCAAAAAAAATAATTAAAGGTTACTCAGTAAATTTTACAAAGTTATAGTGAAAATTTTGATTTTGTTATTTTTACAAAAAAATATTTAAGAAGAGCTCTACGATTATTTTAAATGCAGTAAAATAATTTAAAATAACATAATGTAATATTATAACATAGATAAAATTAGTTAAATTCCATGTGCGATATCTTTTTACTAAAAAATACAGGTGCTTTCAAACTTTTTGTCGGTATTATATATATATGTATATATTTTCATATTTTGAGAAAGCGTCGTCACTATAAAAACACATGATTTTCAAATATGTATTTCTAAACTTTTGTTGCTAGTTATGATTTCACATTAACGTTATATTAATGCTTCAATGATTCTAGATTTACACTACAATGAATAACTATATATGGAGTATACATACAAATCAGTATGGCAGTGTCTAGAAACTATTACTAGTTAAAATTATCATAAACGCAAAGTGATTCATTTAAACAAATTATTTATTAACCTTAATCTATACATTCTTCCAAGTCTATATATTTCCGGTTATTATATTCTATCTGAATATTTTCATCGTTAATGTATTATTATCTAGATTACCTGACTACCCATCACAAGTGCATTCTCATGAATAAATCAATCCATAACCCTTTGATAATATAACGACAGTGTTCAATAGAAGCTTTTATCTTTTTCTCTTACATTGGTTTCATTTATTATATCATTCCATATATTTTTTATTTCTGACACATACAAATTATATTTATAATATTGGCTCTGAATTATATCACTTTTCATGAACAAGATCAAAATACCTCACTAAAATAAAAAAATGAAGTTACCAATATTATTTCAAATGAGAAACTTTATAACAAGAAGGATAAGTATCAAAAAATTTTAAAGAAATATATTTTGCGTCCTAAATATTATAAAAATTATGAAACACCCACACACACACACACAAATATAACACACCATAAAACTAAGCCATTCAAACAGATTTGACTCTTTAATGTTATTTATACATGAATCAAATGCAACATTTTATGAAGTCAGACTTTCAGGTCATTTAGAAAACGTGATAATAATTTTTATTGTTGGTAGATCTATACCAACATATATTATATACTCGTACATAGGCAGTGGTTTGAAGATATTCACACGTATCCTCATTAAAATATCAATAATGCTACTACTCATTATAATTCTCCCAATTTAGATTGTCTTGAAAAGGTTAAAATTTCTTTTATAACCTATCTTTGTTAATCTTAAATGTTAATTTTTAAAAGAAAATAATTTAAGAAACACGGTCTTATCCCGCCGGCAACGGCTTGTTAGTGGAGTTTTTTTTAAATTGTGTCTTGTTGATCAATCCTTTGTTATGTTTCACATTGGAATTTTTAATGCAAGATTTCATTGTTATTATTTTGACTTTGTTGTATTTTTTTACCACAGGTTGATTTGGTAATTTAAAAAAATATTATGTGGTATTATTTCAAAACTTTAGATTCTGTCACAAAGAGTATAGAAATATTACTGTTAGCATCAGTAGTGAAGAGCATACTACTCATATTGAATTTTAAGTTATTGTAATAAACAATTCAATTACTATATCAATTTAGAGAGTTTCAATGGTGTGATAAAAAAAATGTACCCATTAAAAAATCAACTAAAAATTACATCGAGTAAATATTTTAATGACATAAACGTCATGTTTCTATCACTTATTTATCATGTTTATATTGGTGAACTATTTTAAAATAGCGGCTGTAAAATCAGACCAAAACTAACATAAGAAAGTTCGTATTTCTGCAAAGCATAGAAATTTAAATAATACATATATAGAAAAATAAAAAATAATAATGAGAAAGGTTATAACACATCCAGGTAAACCAATATAACATTTTTCCAATTTTGCTCTCTTTTTTGAATTTCCTGTATGTTCTATTTACTTAAATGTAACCGTGATTATGGGAAGAATGACTTATAAAATATTATTCAACTTTCAAATTATTTGTACTCGTTTCATTCCACGCAGAAAGCGCTAACTGCGTCTTTTATATTTTTAATATATTTTATACCAGACATGAACATACTTAAAATCAGGTTATCCAGGCACGAGCTGATTATTGATGGTGAAAACATGCTGTCTATGCTTCAGCTTGGCTTCTAAATTTTAACAATCACAAGAGTCATCGAAACCCACACATTGTTGAGCACTAGTCTAACCTATCACCATGAGAAAGGGAGTTACTGACAGAAGCAACATATTAATAAAGGTGTTTATAAAAATAATATAAACCGCACTGAAAACTAAGAAATTTCTTCAGACTAATTAAGACTATCAATATATGAAATAATAAACAGATACAGCCGTATGTCTCACCATCTCATTAGTGCTAACTACATACTTTGAAACGGGATCATAATGCTCTAAGTGATACAAAAATAACATTAAAACATAAGAGTCTCTATGTTTTTAGTATATTATGTTTTATTATTATATATTTTAACTTATAATGATAGTAGACGTCTTTAAGTCTTATTTAATATTTAAAAAAATAAGCTAATGATATCCTAAACATATTAGTTATGTTATTCCTATTATATACAAGATTAGGTGTAATTGTTACATTATTTGTTTAATTATAAACTTTTTTATAATACAAACAAAGATACAGATTGTTGTAAAGTTATATTAAATTATATATTAATTGTGAAACCACAATTACCTCCAACTGTATGAGGAAATAAAGGTAGTACAAAAATTAATTTACACGTCATGTAATAAGGAAATTATGAAGAACCTACTGTGAATAACGTGATATTAAAATTTCTTTGAATCTGTTTTTGACTTCAAAAGTGTCGTCAAGAGCTTTTCAGAAAATCGTTTACTTAATATGCTTTTGCTTAGTATGGTTACTTAATTTACTTATATATTTCAATGTGATGAATTATTTTATCAATGCTTCTTATAACAGATTCATGTTTTTTATACAACACTTATTTGGTTTTACAGCAAAATCTAACACAATTTTTTGTATTATTATATTGTACATTGTGGTTTACCTTTAAGTCTAAAGACACATTTTTTACTAACCGTCATATGAGATGGTACTCAATCGAAATAAAATATACAATTACAAAATTAATAAAGGTACAATAACAATGTTTCTCACACATCAAAACTGAGTGTCATCTCACGCTCATTGATTTTGATTAATAACAACGATTGTCTTCAATTTGTCACGACTCTAATCTCTTTTAAGGATGTTTTGTATCAAAATATTAGGTTGAAATATAAAAGATCTATTAGTTACTTTGTTTTCAAAATAGAAGTTTCATTTTTTTACACTATGTAATTAATACTAACATAATTTCATTCTTCTTATCAATATTATAGTTAGATGGAAGTAAACGTGAGATTAATTTTAAAATTCCTCATACTTTGAAATTTAAAAACAGTCAGAAGTTATATTTAGTAGTAAATAATAATATCTGATTCAATGGATGTTAATTTTATTTCTGTTAATTAAATGACGTACAAAGATTCTAGAAAGAGCTAGTAGTAATTATCTTCTTTTCATTACATATGATATATTTTTATATTAAAAATAATATTTGCAGTATTTCGTGTTAAATTTTAGCTTATAAATAATAATAAAGTAAAACATGTTATAAATTAATTTAAATATAATACGTAATATTATTTTCAGAAAAGATTTAAGATTTATGTGAACTATGAAAACATGACGGACTGTATTAAGTGATTTAATTTGTTTTTATAATATTGAGACCGTATAGATAAAAAATCACTACTTGTTGTTTTCGTTATAACTATCACAAAGTCACTTTATGTAAGAAAACATTAATTCATATTTAACAATACATTGGATAGTAAGTTTTATACATGTGCATACTTTAATCAATAGTTTATTTAGTTAAATACAAATCTACATAAACAGGACGACAGATGATCAATGAAAATGTAATCTTGATAATGGGACTTAACGGATGTGTTTCTATTCTAACAAATCATTAAACAGAATGACATTAAGTAATTCGTACGTCTCTTAATCAATTCATTCAATTCCATTACTCCATTAAAAGAGGAAAAGAAATTAAACAGTTTATTCTAAAATTAAATATAAATTATCTAATAAGATGATCTAACATAATTTTTCATGTTTTATTGGACCATTAAACATGTAAATCTTTTAAAGTATAATGTTGAGTGTAGAAAGGAGAGTTATCATAGACCGAGGTTAAGTAGTCGTTGAGAAACATGAATACGGACAATTATAAAGTGAGCAGTTAGATTTACTGTTTTATACTTTGTAGTTACTTTATTAATTATAATACTTTATACATAAAGATTGATATGTTCGTACAGTAACTTATTTCTTTCTTCCACATTTTTTATATAACACATGTATTTTATAAAACCAATATTATTGTGAGAAACTCTATCAGATGCTTTTATTGTTTAATACATTTTGTTTAAATATTGTATATATTAAAATTCAACTATAATATTAAATATTTATTTGAAAAAATATGGATATTTTAATTAACATGTTCATCGGCTACTAACGTTTATTATAAAATACAGTTATTTCTTTATATAAACCGTTTTGTTACTTTTCAGACGACAAGTAAGAATTTCTCAGTTAATTTTGTTCAAACATTCACCTGTACAATAAATTTTATTACTAGACTAGATATACTGGTAAATTCTTTTTATGCTCTCTGCTTGAGTGTTTTAAAAATGAAATAAGACAAAACGTTGTATGTCGAAATTATTATTCATTTCTTAAATTACAATGATATAACATATATGGCAGTAATTTATTTTAAAAAAATCAAGAGATACATAATTGTCCTTTACTAAACACACGTCAGCCTAAAATTTAAGTTATGAAGTGTCTACTATACTGCTTAATAATAAGTCCTAGACACGCAGACAACAACGCTATTATGAACTAGAATATTAAACAATAAGTCAGCAACATGTTGACAACATATATCAGCGTAGCTTGTCAACATTTTGCAAAACTTTTAATATTTCATACTTTGAAACTCCATCTGATATATCAGTTTCTATTTAATTTTCACGACAAAGTTTTCACTTAGCTTATGGAAATGCTTATCAAACAAATGCTTCAGTGACTTTATTTATTTCCGATTATATTTCACTAAGTAGATCTTTATGCGAAGGAAAAAGTTTTACTATTAACTTGATAAAGCTAATAATTAGTTGCAAAAAAATTGATAATGGAAAAAACTCTAAGTCTAAACTGCAATAACAGTTGGATATCAAATAAAAATGATGTAAACAATATAATTTTATTAATCAAAGTCTTTATTTGAATGATTTCCTCAACACATATGTAATATCCCTAATGTAACAACTCTGATAAGAGACATCAAGTATTGTGATAAATATCAGGAACTCAAATTTAGTAAGAGATCAAGACACAACTATGCAGTAAAATAATACGTTGTATAAATATACATATATGTATAAACGATTATTCTTAATAACATATAAATTCATAAACTGTCACCGATAAACCAATCTTAATAATTAAAATTAAATTCATCTCATTAGAAAAGAATATAAAGTATAAGTGAAGGCAAAGAAAATTTTACAAACATTTCCCTACTTTTGAGAGCCCCTACATAAAGTTAGTACCTTATAATCTTTAGTCTATTTTTCTTTTACATCCACATTTATGGTAATGTGTTTGCAATTTGAGGTCTTAGTAAAAGCAAGAATGAGAAGGGAATAAGAAACTTTAAAAAAATGTATGGATCTCTGTCACTCAGACTTATTTCAAACAATTGATGTGTAGCTGTTTATATGTATATGTAAATAAATTGCAATCATTACATTAAATAGTCAACACTTTTGAATAATAACTTATGTATTGAGAGATAAAAGTTTTAATTATTGATAACATTTTATGAAATAGTCTTATAACTTATAACATTATCTTTCAGAAAAGACACCATCACAAAGGAGTAACTCATTCTAATTCTTGTAAACTATGCCATTGAAATAATAAGGGTCTTGAATGTGACAGTGAACAATTCATTGTGGCTTGTTGACGTGAGAAATGATTCAATGAAAATGAAATTGCTCATAATAAAGACACTTAAACATAATGAACTCATTTTGTACAGTAAATGAAATAATTTGCATAATAAAGTAATATTTTTATAAAATATGAAGACGCATAGTTTTTTATACATAGTTATTATAAAGAAATGGGTAATAAGTCATCTTATAAACAAATGGGGTGCAACAAACATGAAATTAATGACAAGTGACAAGAATTATTACGTAAATGACAGAGAAAGGCCTTTTTAGTTGATAACTAAATCTTTTTTTTGGATCAAATATACTTGGGTCTTTACTGGCGAATATCATGTGGTTCACCTGTAGAAATCATATTTTTAAATTAATAGTTGTGGCATTTTTAACAGATTGTATAATAAAATAATGTTTCATCCTTTATTGCATAATATTAAGGTTATTATTAAAATATTAATTTTAAGATGATCATTTCAACAAAAAGGTTTTTTTTTACTTGCATATATGTAGTTGATCAATCTATGAGAGAAATGCGAGATGTTGTCTTGTCGTTAAATCTCTATAAGCCGGCAAAGGAATTCTCAAGGACACTGGATGTAGAACAGTATACAGCTCAGTGTCAAAAATGCTAAGACAAAAAGTCTATACAAATAAACCTTTAGAACTATTAAAAAAAAGTTTTAAAATAGAAAATATATAAAGGCTGTTATAACTTTCGACATTTGATATTTATTATTTCATATTCTCGACACTTCATATTTCAACATTGAATTTAAATTTATTAAATTACTTAAAGTAATGGAGGATATTTTTATACAGGGTGCGCCAGAGAAACTTACTTATTTGAAAGGTCAATTAAAAAAAAAGTACTTCAGTTATTGCTTTAATTTTTTTTTTATTTGAGAATACAATATCCCAATTTTTTTTTCATGCAGTCTTAAAAATGACATCGGATACATGGTGACCCCCATGGCGCATACACTGATGAAGTCGATTTTTGAAATTCGTATCCACTCTTCGCAGCATATCAATCGGTATGTTGCCAATGGCGTCGCGAATGTTGTTCTTGAGGTGTGCTATGGTCCGTGGTCGATCGACATAAACCAAGGAAATGTGGAAGTGAGCCTCGTCACTGAAAAAAACGACCGCGTCTTCAGGCAGGTTGTCAATCAGCATTTCACATGCATTTTGATGGGCAACAAAATCGCGTTCAGTTAATTCTTGCACAACAGCCAATTTATAGGGATGAAATTGAAGGTCTTCATGGAGAATCCGTCGAACAGTGGTATCAGAAATTCCCATAGCAGCTGCGTGTTTGCGAGCCGAACGCCGAGGAGAACGCACAACTGACTGCCTCACTCTTTCGATATTTTCCGGAGTTCTGATGGTCCGTTGAAGTCCATTTCTGGGTTTAGCGACACTTCCCGAAACTCACTCCCGAAATGAGTTAAACCACGACAGAATTGAATTACGGCCAGGAACGAGTCTGTGAGGAGGAATTTCAAAGCGAGCGCGGAAGGCACGTTGCGTAGGAACAAGTGAGCGACCGTTAGAAAAGAAGCTCGCAACTGCGAAGGCCCGCTGCTCTCTAAACCAGAGCATGATATCAGCTGACTGGAGGGAGAAACAAACTTGGGAACTTCCCCCTCCAGATGCGCCCCCTCTTGCCCCTCTACCCGCCCAACTCACCGCGCGGTAATTTTTTTAAATAAGTAAGTTTCTCTGGCGCACCCTATACTTTCAATATTTGAGTCATCGTCGATTCATTATTTTAATCGTCATTTGGCCCAAGAACGTACAGTGTTCTGATTTTGATCTTCCCAATTTTATTGTCTTAATTAAGGGTTTTCATAAGGTCAAAGGCCGAGTTTCTTAAAATTTAAATAGAGTAATAGATTCAAATAATCATTAGGGTGAGTCCATTTTAATTACCAACTTGCATAACTTAACGAGTTTGAGATGACTTTTATTATGACAAGTAAAGAAGTTAAACCAAAATTATGAAAGAAAAAGGTTTTTTAAATGAAACTGTAGACTTTTATGTCTTCTTCGTTCTTTAAGAATTTTTTTATTGTTACTTATGTAAAATTACGTTATACTCAGTCTTTTTGACTTTTTCGAAAAGGATTTTTATTTTCCTAAGAGTATATTCACTAAATTTAATAAATTTTTTATGCTTACAGTATATATTGAAAACAGAGGCACTTTTTGTTTCGTCTTTCACGTTATAGTCGATAGCGGTTTTATATTTACAAAGCTATACTTACACAACAAAAGCTGATATTCTAAGGTTTTTGCATTCTAGAAGTGCTATCGTATCGTTATTATTGTTTCAAAAGTACTTATGAACCCAACAATTTTTTGTTCAGATATAAAAGCTGTTTATATATCTCAATAAAGAATAAAAATACTTTGAAGATTCTTATGATAAGATTCCGTAATATCAGGACTTAGCTTCCACTAACAGCGGAAAATTAAAATTCTCAAAATTGGGATAGTGATTTTTGAATTCAGCAGAATGATTATTTATGAATTGATTCACATATACTTAACAGAAAATGTTGACTGCACTCGTTTATATTCAGCACTTTCATTTACAAATACTGGGTTTAGCTAACTTAGCATAGCTTTTAGAGACGACAGTTTAAATCACATTTCATATGAGGATTTATAGCTCAAGGAACACAAACAGAAATATTAACAGAAATTAAAAAAGTAATATTTTTTAATCTTTTTCATAGCGCCAACTGCGAGCATGATTGGAATAGAATAATAGAAACTTAAGCTGTCAGGGGATTTCAAACATGTAGTAGTGAATTCTTTAAGTAATCAGTTCTCCATAATTTACCTGGCAATTTATTTAATAAGATTTGCCAGTCAATTCCCGGACGCGGTAACTAAATATCGCTACTTGTGTTGCCCAGATTAAAAACCGAAAATGAATGTCAGACCTACGATATTAAACATATTATATACTATGTACCAATGTTTTGTAACATATCAGTTGAATATTTTAGTTAAAATTGCTGTCTTTTATTGTTTGTTAAAAAAATCTTTGAATAACATGTTCGTTTCATTAAAACATTAAGTGTAAGAAACATTTGTCAGTATCCAAGCATTAAGATTACTGCGTTTCTAGCCAAAATATTGGTGTGATTAATAGTGGGCTATAATAAATCACGTACTGTGTTACCGTGAGCTCCTTGATCACCCCATCTAACAAAGATAGCTATAGATAGCAGGTTACGAGTATCAATACTTTGTGTTTATTTAGTATAAATTACTTAGATAAGAACAAGGTGAAACAATATCTTACATATTTGATATTAATTTTCTATTATTTTGATATTTATTTTCAATTATTTCGCTAAATTTGTATCAGCATTTATAGTAGAGCGATGTTATATATCCTGTATCGTCTTTTGATATATATAACACCTAATATTCTTTTCTAAATTCAGTTAGGAGTTTTTGAGAGTATTCCCGCTAACCTTACAACTAGTCAAACTCTTAATAGAAAGCATTTTTTTCTGTTTCATGTTATATACGAATACGTATGAACTGGTTTTCTGAAATATAATAGGTAAGTGAATTTTACGTTTCATTATTATGAACAATAACGCATGATTATTCAAGTGGTAGTTGCACGCTTTTGTCATTCTCATTATGTTAACGCAAATTGTTCGTGATTCTGCTCAAAAAATGTTATATTGTGGAAAATGAATATAACATTACTATAAAATTATTTTATCTTACAGTTAACAGTTTGTTGATTATTTTATAATTCAAAAGTTACTATCATATTTCTTTACAAATTGTTTAATTTGGCATTAACGTCATTCGTAATAACGTTAGTACCAACTAATCAACGGAAATAATTAAATGATACTGAGGATATCATAGTATCAGGCTAGTTCATTCTTTATTCAATCTAAATATGAAAAAGAAATCTGTTTTCGATTTTACTTTGGCTTAAAAGATTATATGTATATCATGGGAATCCGTTTAAGTGACACTGTAATTTTAATATTGAGGTTCGTAATCTACTAGCTTATTAAGAATTCTAAATAATCCAATTCTTTTCATCATTAGTCCATTTAGTTCAATTTGGTTCGTATTTACAACATTTTGTCGTATTTTTTTAAAACATCATTTTAACAATATAAATTAAACTAGTTATTTTTGTGGCAGTACTTTTAAAATAAGTACAAAGTTTCTTAGCTGCAAAAATAAGGTCTGAGGAAGTATGTTTCAGCTGAGAATGAAAACGCAGAAAAACCTTTCCCTAAAAGTTTGGAAATAATGTTATTTGAGAGTTTTCTGAAAGTGGTTTATGCCCTTTTTGAATAAACTTTGACAGTTGCTATAGGCTGAAATATCAAGGAAAATACATTACAGGATTTTTTTAAAATTGTACAATGATTGATTTAAAAAAATTAAAGGCAGGTCAGGCGTCTAGGCCTAGTATCTTGTTTATGCAGTAAAACAAGCGCTAGTTATATTAAGGTAATATAATATATTAACAGTTTGAATATGTGTTTTTTAAATATGTTTCTAAATGTCGCATAGTGCAAGAAATTTATATCAAATAATCATATTTGATTCATTATATCTTGTTCTCTGTTCTTATTCATTCCTATGATATTCAAAGCAAACAAATTGTTTTTTCATTGAGAAAAAGACGAAAAAGCTTCTAATACATTTAGTTCAAGTGCGACAGTTTGTGTTTCTAGATAAATATTTTATTAAATATAATACTAAACCGATTGTAATAAAACTTGAAATACAAATATTTAATTATAAATAAACAATAAATATCCAATCATTATTCTAAATCAACATTATTTATGCTGATTATTTAATGACTTTGTATAGTTAAACCTGTTTGTGTTCAAAGCGTATGTGGTCTCTTAGTATTATATAGAAATATACAGGGTGACTGGTGAATTACTATCGATATTTGAGGACGTGATATTTGACGATCGTATATGACGAAATAAAAATTAATATAACATAAATATTAATAAACTTCTAAGTAAAGTTAACCAAAAGTTATGTAATTAATTACGCATCGTGTGAACACCCTACAGATAGGTATACACTGACACTCACACATACGCGTGTCGTGACGTAGTGTTGTATCAGCACGCCGCCGCACGCGTCCACACTTGAACACTTGGAACGTGTCAACACTTTACTTATTTATACGGAAATTTTGTCAAAAATTAAGTGCCTATTTTTTACATAATTCGAATGAGAATCATGTACCGAGTATTCTCCTTAAATATTGATAGTAATTCACCAGTCACCCTGTATAAACAATAATTGATAATAATAACAATACGAATGAACTATTTATTAAATTATCTTACGCTCTCGATTGTATATATCTCAAAGTTAAAGCAGACCTTCACAATATCCATATAAAAATGTTCTACAAGTCTACATAAATTTTAATTTTAAGTTAATAAAGCAAATTGTAAAACTTATTTTATGTTTAAAAGACTATTATATGATGTGTTTTCATTCAGAAGTGAAAGCAAATAATATTTATTTAGATTCCAATGTATCCAAATACTGAGAAACAAAGAGAATAGTAAAATAGCTAGTTTGACTAGTAATTGACCTATACTGACGATTCTGTGTGAGCGTTCAATGGAGCTCGAATTATCTGTTGTACTAAATTGAACCGCTGATTATACTTGTGACATAGATATTAAGATAATATAACAGTTGTTTAATAGAGAGGAAGGATACAATTTTTCTATTATCGTATTTATGACAATTTTCTCTAAGATAAATATTACGAACTTTGTAGCCGTTTTTTTTATTATGAGACATTTGCATTTTATATTGACTCTCGTTTGTAAGTTTTTATATTGATATTTTTTCGCACCACGTTAGATTATAACGTATAAACAGTATTAGTAATATAAAAATGTGAACATCAAGATTGTCACCACATTTTCGAAATTGTGTAAAAGTATTTTTGGTTTTGATAAACTTTTTATTTTTATAGCATGGACTGAGAATAACAGACCTGTTATTGATGTGCAGGTTTTGAAGTCATTTATTTTCAATTTAACAATTAATTTTATAAACACGCTTTGCTTTGAGAACATGGAGTGTTGGAAACGTGAAATTTTAAGTTTTATATTTCATGGACATTATCTAATACTGTTTGGCACGGTTTCCTTATGAGATATAAATGTTGTGAGTTTTCATTTCAGCAAAAATATTCTTAAAATATTAATAAAAACTTTTAAAGTTATTTATTTCGTTTTTGTCCAAAAAATATAATGTGTTTCGATCTTTCTCAATTTGATGCATTATATTTAAATGTACTTCTAAATTTCTCAAAAATACAAGTAAATTTTTTCCATTGCTTGTATGCGGTCTTGGAAAACACATATTATTATTAATAAAGTTGGACTAAAAAAAATTCAAAACTAAAGAAGAGCAAAAAATAAGTAAGTGAAGAGTAGAGTTATTACATAATTTTAAAAATAATCTTGGTATATTAGTACTTCGGGGAAGTTAAATTAAAGTACATATACACAACCCAGAAGATAAGTAAATCCAGGCGAAAACGAATCCGTAACCACTTGAGTTCAGTGCAAAATTCAAATATGTGGTCATATTTCCTCAAGTC